CCCCAAAACCCCAAAACCCCAAAACCCCAAAACCCCGTTGAGATATCAAGATTGATCTTTAGAAACGTGATAAAGCGTTTGAAATAAGTTTAAATGACTATATTGGGTTTATGTGTTGTGAGCTTGGTTGAAGTTTAACTTGCTTCCATTCAAGCGACGAGAGTCATTTAGGGAGTTCTGAAATTGTCAGAAAGACTCTTGCTTTTCTCTCTAACAGCAATAAGCCAGTCGTTCGAGACGTTAGGCTTCAATTTTCTGTAGGGAGTGTGTCCATTGGAGGAAATGCTATTCTAGTTGCTCAGCATTAGTCTCAATTGGAACTGCTTCAAATCTTCTTCAAATTCAGGATCCTCAACCTCAATAGTCTCGTCGTCTTCGATCTAATTGTCTTCTTAGTTATTCCCTTACAAGTTAGGGCTATTCTTCATTTCATTACCTACTAAAGAATTTCCTGCATTTTCAATTGATAACTCTTCTTCAGTCTTCTTCTTCTTTTTTTTCTTGTTCTTTCTTCTCTTCTTTTTCTTTTTATCAGTTTGAACTGTTTCATTTGTCGATGCCTGATTTGATAAGGTGCTACTTTCATCTGGATCTGGCATGTAATGATGGAATGTTGTATTATTGAAGTTGCTTAGATCATAAGCATAACTCTTTGGGTCAGAATTCATCCTTTAAAGTAATATTATAACGAATGAAATGATTACTCAGTCAGCGTTTTAAAGATTGAGGGAATACTTGTTGTGTCATTATTTATAAGGTGGTTGTCTAGTGATTTTATCAATAGATGAATATTTACATTATTTTTTGAAGTTGAGTTTTGTATGCTCTGACATTTTAGTTCCAAATTTATCGAATTGCCCGTGATCGAAGTCCATAAAGTCTCTGTTACCACAGATCTCATCTTCAATTATATCATCCTCGTCGCTTGGTTAAGCACTATAATTCAAAATTTCATCCATTTCAGAGTTCATATCATCGTCATCCTCGTCATAGTCACTATCAATCAGCAACTACCTGTGACGTTTGTTAATGCTGCTTGAGGCTAATTAGTGATATACTCTGATATATAATCACATATAACGCCTTTGTAGATCATAATAATTTTAGCCTTCACTTGCAGGCAAAATTATCTTGCTTCCATTAGTTTTGCTTTTAAATTATTAGTACTAACTTTGATTTGGCGTGACAATAGAAGAAAATGATTGAAATACCCCACATGAGAGCATGAGATTTGCCCATTCAACTAGCTCACTCTCCATAAACTTTATATATTCTTACTCTATATAATCTATCATTTGCCATAGTTCAGGCTTTAATAGCTCATCCATAAGCTGTATAATTTCCCTAAGTACAAAGTCCTTATATATAAACAGGAAAAAGAATCCCTTAATTATAGATTCATTCATCAGATACCTGAACCCAGGCTACGTGTCAAATATTTTAGAGGTAGTTGTCTTGAAGTATTGCGCCTTCTTAATCATTTCGTCATACAAGTCAACCATCTTCCTTACCATGTCCATATAATCTCTTTTGCTTAATTTTAAATCTTTTACATAGACTTATTGAACTGTATTTCCTCTCGTCTCATTAACCTCTTTCGTCATTGTAAAATTTTGACATTTTTTGTACAGAGTATGTATGCTTTTTTTAGTTAGTTTGACGATAGAGAAAATAAGCGAGAGTTATTCAGTTTCAAGACCCTAGAATTGATGATTCTCAATTTATGACTTAAGCTCATAATTCATCAGCCTTTATCTCATTAACTTGCAAATGATTATTTCTATCACAGTTTTTTACTCCATATAGCCATCGTTTTCTCTGATAGCTATTTTGTTATATTCTATCAGTTGCAATAATTAAGTTTTGTGAGTGCTTTTTTCAACTATGGGTCCATATGCCTCTTAAATCCATTTAGATTTCTGGTCTATAACTTTCTAGTTTGTAGGAAACTAATCAGAATAAATGAGCTCTCCAAGCTTGGGGTCCATATCCTCCAAAATATCGGATGGTTCAAGAAAGGTGCTTCTTAGTCCAGATAGCTATCCTGTCTCCACTATTAATATATTTATTGAAACGCTAATATCTTACATAATCTTTTAAATAGCTCAGTTTTGTCAGCAAAGCTATCAGCTAAGTTTAATTCAATATTTCTATCCATCATATTTCCACTCTTATTCATTTTGACTGTCGTTTTTGTCGTTGTGTGCATGGTAGTTGTTGATTCATATATAAACGGGTTATTATCACAAAGATTCTTGAATTCTCGTTTATTATTGCCACCTCTGGAAGCTTTAGACATTTCATTATTGGCAGTACTACTACTGATAGTTTACTAATTCAAAATGTAAATTGAGGCAAAAATATAAAAAAGTGAAAATTTTCATGCTAAAAATTTATAGAAAAACTTACAATTTTATGGATTATTGGTCCTGTAGAAATACTCTGAATATTGAAAGTACTACCATTATTAGCATCTCTTTTACTCTGCTAATGGTAATTCAGACAGGTGTTTATTTTATGTTGAGGTTACTTCATAATCTCAGAGAGCATTTATTAAATTTTACGATTGTTTTCCTGATTTCGAGGATCTGAGTCAATTAGATTATCAGATGAATCATCTGATACCTCTACATCATATATTTTTTAGAGTTATTCCTCATATAATTTCTATTATTTTTATGCAGCATTTTAGTTGTGCTACTTTCTATTCTTGGCTTTTTTATCCATTTATATAGTTTAAATTGATTTTCCTTTGGGAGTTAATGGCTCCTGACAATTTTAATTATTTATAATATTGATAATTTAATTAAAGACCCTCACATTATCATTTCTATATTATACATTTTATAAATTTTTTGGCTTCAACTATTTTATTATAATTTATCTCAATAATAATTACAATGGCAAATTATCAAATCCAAACTTCACTAACTCGTCTCTAAGACTAAGATTTAGTCGAAGTAAATTTTAACCTTATTATGAGTTTCTAGTTTTTCGATGATACTATAACCTATCTCAAAGGAGGCAGAGTGCCCTTTTTATCAAAGTATCAAGAATCAGTTGGACCAAGTTAAGTTGTACCTCTGAGGGATTTCATGATAGAAATCATTTAGGTTGGTCTAAGGAAATCTTCTCCAGCCAGTACATTAGATGTCTTAAAGGAGGGTGTTTACAATTATGTGCAAGAGCATCAAATCGTACTTGACAATAAAATGATAGAAATCCTTTCAATTTGTATCTTTTCAAGAAGGGAGGAGTTGCGCAGAGTTTTCACTGAATTAATCTTTTAGAAATCTGTAGATAAGCATCTTGTTGACTATAACTATAATATTGAGGTAAGATTCATTAAAGATACAAGTCAATGTTCAATAGATATGTATGGCAAGTGAAAGTTTTAGTAAAGTTAATGAGGCTTATCTAGTATTGGAATTAATGTTAAGAGGGCAAGATGGCAAAGGCTTAGAAAGAGTAGTTATTGAATTAAATAACCAAGAGGCAAAAGCATTTGTTGGAAAGCTAAGAGAAATCGAAAAAGTAATCAATTCTTAAAAATTAAATAAACTTTATAAATAGGAGTTAATAGGATCATCATAATGAGAAGTTTATCTTTATTTAGTTAACAATATTCATTCATATTAAACACAAACACTCAGAGAAGGCAATCACTCAGATGATTACCCTCTCATTAATCCTATCTGTTTCTTATCAATTTATTTTGATTCATCATCATTGATTTTACATCTTCTTAAACAGATTAATCTGAGCTCTTTATGGTGATGGTATCTTGTTTTTATTTTAAGATTAGATAAGATTGTTTTGAATATTTTAATTCTTTCCATTATTCCCTTGTAAAAACTCTATATTAACTACTCCTCCAGCAAAGAGGTCAGATTGATTGCTATTTTAGTAAGTACCATACGATGAAGTAGCTCGATGTTAATTGACACCATAATTATTCCCTTGGCCTCCGGGCTTGAAGGATTTTTATTTTACTTATGATTTCCCGAAGGCTCGCCTCTTTTCCTCTTCGTCTTTGATTTACTCATGCATCATTTATATCAGACTGCCCGTTTTCTGAGATTCGAGGGTTTCTTGAAATGAGGGAGGTTTAGATAACTTTCGCTTTTAGTTTTAAGAGAGAGAGTTTGTCTTTGAATCGTAAAATGTCTAAGATGTATTTTATCCTGAACTAATTCCACCACCAAATTTATTAGAATGCTTTCCCTCCTTAACCTCAACTCTTTACTATTTTATCTTTTGAAGAATCTCCTTTGGCTATTAATTCTTTGCTTGTATTGACTTATTCTCCTCAATCTCAGGAAGTTTATTATTATTACTAGAATTAATGATAGTCTTTTTACTTTGATTCGTTCCATAATTGAAATGTTTTACCTTGTGATTCTTTATAAGTGATGAGCTACTTCCATCCTTCTGACTCTCATCATCAGAGGACATGAAGTCACTAAAGTTACCTGAAACATTCATCCTCAACTCCATCGGAGAGGAAGGAGATAAACTAGCAGATCTATCGCCAGATATATGATGCCCTTATCCTGAACTTGAAGAAAAGGTTTTCTTTCGTTTCTTTTCAGGGACACTTAGGAGTTGACTATTCTCATTAATGGTACTTTTCCTTGAATTTGCGTGAAAATTATTTTGAGTGTTATTCTTGGAGGCATTTGAACGTTTCGAACTTCTGCCTGACTTTGAATCATCCCTTCCTGCCTTTATCCTATTTTTCCTCAGGAATTCTTTGACATCTGGGGATAGCAGTTCAATTTACCCATTTTTAGTGTATTCCATGTAATCTTTCATTGAGCTGTTGCTTGACTCATCCCCGTGGGTGCCTTACTTTGCGATTATAGAGGATCTTTCATTCTCCCTATCCTTTTCTTTTAGTCTATCCTTTCGAGCAAGAGAGCTAGTTTTTTACACATCAATTTTTGGCACTGTTATTCTTCTTTATAATGAACTCTAACGCATTTTGTTTGATTTATTAGGACTCACATCAAGTACATTATCCTATGTCCGTAGTTTAAAGAGGTATCTTTAATCTATTAAAGGAGCACTTTATTAATTCTTGGCATTCTATAGCTTTGACACTGAAAGAAAATAAATAACTGATTGGACCTATAAAAAGATTAAATGCCTGCAGATAAATAAGAGGCTATATAGTAAAATGAATGCTATTGATCAGACTTACTTTTCTAAGTTTATCCTCGATCATAAGTTACTCACCAAGTTAATTTGATTTTTCCTATTTGGTGAGAGGAGGCTTTGAGTTTAAATCTCTAGTTATCCAGGGATGCTTGAGCGCTTCACTCGCAGAATATCTATGAGACTACTCGTGGGTGCAAAGCTTAGAGATAAAATGTTTAGCAAGGTCTGACATTGTCGACGGAAATTTAAATTCTTTGAACTTCATGATTTTGTCCTTCACTTCCTCAGTTGCATCATCTGAAACTACGAAAGGATGCTTTCCTGTTAATATTGTATAAGTCACTATACCTAGAGCCCATATGTCAGACATCTATAAGATATAATTATGATGCGCATTTTAATATTACTTTGCCATAGTTAAATTTATTCATTACTTGCTCAGGAGGTTAATATATCAATGTACCTATATTCCCATATTTCCTCAAACTTTCTTTTCGGTTATAAGTCGCAATACCAAAGTCGATGAGTTTGCATTTACCAAGATCATTATAACTATGAACCACAATATTTGGTGGTTTTAGGTCTCTGTGAATGATGTCCTTCTCATTGTGTAGATATGCGACTCCTTTAAATATACCCTACATAATTTAAGCACATTCTTCTTCAGTCAAAGGCTAACCTTATTTTCGTCTTCTACTGGCAAAGTCAGACAAATTATCCTTTGTTAATTTCATAGAAATCATCAGAAAATTCTAGAAGTTTATAAGTCTATATATTTTGATGACGTTCTCGTGTTGAAGTTCTTTGAGAATGTCGTACTCGTCCCTCAGCATCTCTGCCTTTTAATCCTTTTTATATACTATCTTTAGAGCTACATTTTTATTGCACTATAGATCCTTGACTGAGAGGACCACACCAAATCCTCCACTGCCCAGAACCTTATTGACGCGAAACATATCCAAAAATTTTTCCCTCTCATCATCCTCAAATAACTCCATCAAGTCATCAAGATTATTAATCCCCAATTTCTATACTGCCTTCTGCTCAATTTATTTATCTTTCTTTTTGGCTCGAATTCTTTCGATATCTGAGTACTGCTCATCCTAGTCACTCTGATTCGAATCCATCACCTATTGACTCATTTTGCTATTACTCTATCTGGGTCTGTTTCTCTTGGGTGGAGTCGGTGATTATGAGTCTTGGGTGACATTTAACTCACTATTTTTGGCTTATTTATCCTCCATTATACTAATAAGTTGTTTAAATGTTAATTTACTTGATTTATTTATACGAAATTTTCAAGATCCAATAATAATAAGTATTTAAAATTCTTTAAATAATTATACTTTACACAATTCATCGATTTGCATGTAAGAATCAATTGAAATACATTCTACTTCAATTATCTCAAATTTAATTTGATCGCTTTGATAATTTCATTAACTCTCTTATTGTTCTTCATCAAGATTGCCTTCTTTCTGTCTTATCTTACTTTATTGCTAAAGAGTTCCCAGTAACATCAAATTTTCATTCCTAAATGACGCTTTTACTTAGTCAGTACTGATATTCACAACATCCAAGGCATGAAACCTGATTCTATTTGTGCCCTGATATAATTCATTCTTTGCCTTAACAAGTATCTTATATGTCTTAAAGTAAATATTTTCATTTAACCATCCCTCGAAGTCGCATTCCATTCTGAAAGACTTCTTTATCTTTTTTATAAATGTCAAGGGATCAACGTTTCCCATTAATATGTCAGCCTGCTCCTTAGAAAATCCAATTATAATTTTCCCTGTAAAATCTTGGAAGATTGCATGTATGAAATAAAAGAACTTTTCCTTTATTATTTTCCCACAAGTCGAGCAATAATACCCAGTAAGTCGATGATCATATACTTTTTTGCAACATATCGGGCATCCCATGTAAGTCATTGAGTCTGAAGAGGAGACAAATTTTATTATGTTTCCCTATAAACAATATATTTGAGTGGGGTTTCTATAGACTTCACTATGTTCTTTGAAAGTTCCATCATACCCACAATTCAATTCATCCAGAACATCTGAAATTAACTATAAAATGGAGTTAACAAGAATATCTTTTTACTACCTTTTGATTATCCTCTTTTAGCTTGTCAATTACTAAGCCAAGCTATGTGACTTATTACTCTTTTGCAGCACTCCTATGCTTTGCTACTAAATTGGCGTTTGATAAGTCCACGTATCTATCGATATCTGACACTTCTTCTCTCGTAGGATTAATGATAATCTTGCAATACTCACTTCCGCAATTTAAAGATTTTCCTCCAAATGTGCTGACCCTAGCCCCATTTATAATAACTATATCTCCTTCATTTATTTCTATGTTAGATAAATCACCCCAGAGATTAACGTTTATAACTTCATTTGTATTGTCCACTAAGGTAAAAACTAACCTACCCTTTAAAGTTTTCTTCCCATAATCAAACTTCACATCAATATCATCTTTTTTAGGGTCTTTAGTCACATTTATCCCACAGACATCAATTTATTTCAAGTCATGTATAGATGTCATTATGTCAAAAATTGATACAAAATTGAATTTGTATCTTAATATCTATTCAGACTCAGATTCGGTATTTGTACTGTCTTTGCTTTCTTCTTTTTTAGGCTCAATATAATCAGTAATTACTGAATTCTGATTAAAAATTATTCTGAAGTCATTTTTAACAGAGGTAAACTTTTTGTTGGCATTAGCAATTTAAGCTTATGTAAATGTATAAATTTTTCCTTCCTCAATTTTATTGAAGAAGAAATCTAAGCAATCCTTATAGAAAGTGCCTTCAATCTATGTACCCTCTACATCAACGATCTCAATCTTAAACATACGGCCTGCTTAATAACTAATGATATTTCCTTTTTTTGTGATCTAAAATTTATTGAATGGAAATCTTACTCTAGCTTTAATATGCCAGTCTTCTCCTGAAGATGTGTTTAGATCCTTAATTGGAATAATCTTGATGTAATCATAATGCTTGATCTCTTTTTCAGGATCTACATTTCTGAATTTCATAGGTGACTCCTTCTTCAAATTTAATTCTTGCTGAAGCTCCATCCTTTTGTAGGGAGATGGTTCACCAATCTGCTTAGTGAACTTGCAAGATATAATCTTGGGGCAAGATGAAAGCATTAAAATCCTAATAAGTATTTATAAATTTATTTACTTGACTTACTCCCTTCCATCTAGCATCATAATTTTAAAGCTTCTGACTTCAATTACAGTGTATTGTGCTAATATTTCTAACTATAAATTCAAAATTATAAGAATTCGATCAGTAATGGATAGGTGATTTGAGACTTACAATAGTCTCAATCGAGAACTTGTATATAATTGCATTTATACTAGTACTCCCATCTGATAAGATTATTCTATTAAAAAGGACATTAGTAACTTATAACAATAGCTTTAGAAGTGATAATTGATTACATTATACTTAGATTCATAATTACCTAAATTTGATTTTATTTTCTTGTTCAGGCTATCCATTTGAAGGCTGCAATTATTTTATGCTTAGTATTTATAGTCGAAATCTATGTTCTTCATTCTTATCTGAGATTTAGACTTTTTATAATTCGATCATTTTCATAATAGCATTAGGCGTCAACTAAGAAGATGAATTAGGATTGGTTACTGTTGATAAAGATTCCATTATAAGATATATTGTCCCGCCTGTTGTTTAGATTTTAAAGTTATATTATTTTAAACGCTTTTCAAATTTTAAAAATGCTTTAAATTTACAATTTTAAACATACGGGGTTTTGGGGTTTTGGGGGTTTGGGG